TTATTTTTTGTTACATGCCGAAAAGGGGTCACAAATGAGAGCCAAAATCTATCAAATACCTAGTTAGAGAATAACTGTACTCCGCTTTCTCATTATGTAGGAATTTGAGTCTGACATCCCTTACTTCCTAAGTGAATATTCATCTGGCAGCTTCTCCGCTCTCTCTTTTGCCAGCTAGTTCACTAGGGGGCCACGTTCAATCCCCACCATCACAGACGACCTGAGAGGAACCAGAACCAGACTCCATCCCATGTAAAAATACTGACTAAGACCAGAATCCTTCCTGTCCTGCCCTCCAGCCCTCTCTTTGGCTCTCTCTCATAAGCTGGGCAGCGCACTCTGGATCCTTGGGAGGGAGCAACGCTGGCCAACCCTTGTAAAGAAGCCCATTAAGGAACCCATCAATATTTCATCATTGTTCACTCACAAACATAGAAGTTTCCAGGCCAGAACCATTAGGGGGCAGACGTCAATACGTTATGGCAGTGAGCATCTCTCTTCACTTCACCCCAGCTCTCTCCCCTGCTTCTGTCCATCTCCCCTCTCAAAAGAAGTCAGCGGAGAAATCTCAAGACTACAGTGGTTTCCACTACTTCTGCATTAAACAAATCATTAACCATTAGGTATCCGAGGAGCACAACAGTCTCCTGCTCCTGTCAAATGACTCCTAGTACTGTTATTAGTCTCAGTGAGAGGAAGGAAGGGAGACAGGGAGAGAGGGTGGTTTGTTAAATCTGTCTCAAGAAAACAAACCTCTAGTCAGACACAGAATACAAACACCTCATTAACAGCACGACATGACTGTACAGTGTGATACAGACAAGCCTAAACACTCTCTAAACACTTTTTGTGAGACTTTGACTCATGGCTGTTGAGACGGGTCTAGCACCTTCGGTTCTGGCCAAGTCAGTGAGTGGACATGGTGATCATCAAGAGTATGAACTTGCTGTCTCTCAGTGAGTCAAGTCTTATGATTGAAATATAACATGTAGAGGCAGCGGGAAGCTTAATTGCAGTCTTCTTAGGATTGCAGTGATTTTATAAGCCTTATTTCCAATTATTACACCTACATTAGCCAGGATGGGAACTAGCTGCAGGCTAAAATCGTGTTAAATATTGCTGTTGCAGACATTTTAACGAGGTTTCTTCAGGCTCACCCTTCAGTGTCCTTGGAACTAAAAAGGTCCTGCTACATGCACTTTACCAGAGGAAATGTGAGGTCTCCTAGAAGCCCAGTAGAAACCAGATCCCAGGCTGCTAAGTCTAATGTAAATAACATCTCCAGACCTCTCTGAGGGAGGTGGAGCCATGCCAGTTCATTGCACTTATGTCATCCCTTTCAGATCCTTATAGCTTTTATGGTGTAAATCCTGCCCTGACCTTAATTAGATTATTTATTTGCATCTCATTACTTTTCACCAGCCCTCTATAGTAATTAGCTATAGCTCTGTTATCTTGATTATCTCCAAAATATTATTTATGAACCTTTTCCACTTTATTATTTTTATAAAGGTTTTCTGCAAGTGTGTATGTAGCACGTGTTTACATTGTGCACACAGCACGTTCGTTACACGTATTTACAGTTCATTTCAACGTAATAATAAAAGTGTGAAAGATGCAATACAAGACCCGACATGAACTCACCAGAGTGCAGAACCTCTCGGGTGGATTCCCGCAAGTAATTCCGGGCGGATCCACCTTGATCCTCATGTAGTCTTTCATGGACGCGGATTTCGGCTGGCACGCATAATGCTCCCACACAGAGCCCTCATCCGTGCTCACCAAGGACTTGCACAGTTCGTACTGGCCCAGAGTGGAGGCCAAGCAGTGCAGCAGCAGCAACACGACCTGGAGGAGCATGGCAGGCTGGGGTGGTGTTTGGGGTGGGGTCCAGCGCAGGGTGAGGGGGCCACGGAGCTCAGAATACAGGTGAAGCGCATGGAGCGGTGATCATAAAGTAATAACTGACATCCCTACCATCATATTGCTGTACCGTCCACTAATGTGCTCGTTAACTGACAGCCAAACCTAAAGGTTTATAAATTCCCTAAACAGAACACTGTATCGGCAACTTTCACTCAGTCTCTCTTCACAGATATTGACGGGTCCCACAGAGCCCAGAGAGGAACACTTTGTTGTTTTGGCGGCTGACTTCCTGAGGAAGATGGGCTGTGGATGGAGATGTGGATAATGTTACAGAGACTAATCTCGGCATACACTGTAACCATAGTGTTTCATGGAGATGAAGAGATGTTAACGCGGATCCATGTCTCAGAGAGAGGTGTCCTGTCGGGAAACAGTGGCGCTGGTCGGTGAGGATGTAGGTGTAGTTGCTGGGTCTTCAGAGACATCCATTGGACGTTTTAGACTGGCAGAGCTTCTCTGATTGTTCTTGAACAAAACAAGGACAAATGTGACAGAAGTAGGGGGTTAGTATGATGAGTAATGTTCCGTCATCAATGTGTAAATGCAAAAATAAGAACCTGTCGTATATTTCAAAACTCAACTTGAGATGTAATGTTTCGTGCATACCAGGTTTTTTTCTTTTGCATAAATAAAAGTGTCAGTTTTTGTAATACACATGCTGTGGTCGGTTGCGCTTTTCTGTTAAACATAATTAACTCTTTAACTATAATGTAGTAAATTGTGGTGATTTATCTTTTTAAAGTGGAAAACAAACCCACATTTGCCTGCAGACTCTGAAAAACCTTTTACCTGAATGCATGGCACAGCCCCATTGGTTATAGGAAGTTAAAATCCACTTCAACCCTGTGTGGTGACGTTTAATAGGTTACAAAGAGTTATTTGCTGTTTATTTATTATTATTTATTATTCACTGTAGAACACAGTAAAAAGCATCGCACTCTGAGGATAACCTTGTGCGTAAAAACACGTGCTCCCGCCGGGCGCCACCTGTGCGTGCAAGAGTTGTAATTGCTCTTAGATCTGAAAGAAACATTTAATATCCGATATCCGATATATCAATGGTAGAAAATGTAACTCTAATTAACTTGTTTCAAGACTTATTGAAGGAAGTGTCATTTTCTTTGGAGTTAATGAATAATCGACTCGTTTATTATTCTGTTTTACTTCAGCAAAATGTCCATAATTTAGTAAAACGCTCTGCAGTGAAAGTAATTCTTGTCAGACTTATGCGCTTAATTGAATTATAATTCGGTTTTAAACTGAATGCATGAATAAATATGGGTGACATTTTTTGCAGTGTGGACTCACTGATCATAATCGGATGTCATCCCACACTGGCAGCAGCCATAGTCCTTGCGCAACATATCCCACACAACCCTGTGGACTTAGTTCACTTGTGAAGTGAAGTCGCCAAAGCAAAGCTATTTCCTGGCACTGACAGTCTTGCAGGGGTGTGTCAGCTTCTACAGTAGTGCATCCCACCGAGCAGCATTGCTCATATAAATTTATGCTGTATATTCGCAAATTAAGGCATCGGTGCGTTTGTCTAAAATATTGTAAATGAAGCTGAAAGTGCCTTCACCACTGTGGCTATCCGGGGGGGCTCCGGATGTCGCGTATAACTCAAAGCAGCTTCTCTGTGCAGACTTCAAAGAGCTTTAACAGAATGCATCGTTTTGTTAGGTGTTTTATCATGCCAGATAAGCCACTTACTTTTAACATGCATCCAAGAGACAGGTCAGCACTTTGCGTGGCACTGGAGTACATCAGCGTCCCCCTCTTTGGCCAAACAGATGCTCCCGATCACCCACTGTACTCGTCCCCCGCCGCGGTCCTCACTGTACTCCCGTTATCTGCCCGCCCAGCTCGCTGTTTGTTGTTGCCTGCGCCGGGTACTTTCTATCACACCGTGGCTGACTGCGCACTGTAGACCGGTGTCCTAGATCTCGAAACGGCTGAGAGAAGAGGACTGAAATCCAGCGTCAAGGAGTATCAAAAGTATAAAATATTGACTTTGACAAAAGGCTTGTGTGCGTCCTTCTGTACCCATCTCCTCCTCCTCTTCCCACTTTGCAAGCTTGGGCTTACCCGGGATGCTCAAGGGCAGAAAGAAAGAGAAAAAAGGCTTTATGGAAAATATCACCCTCCCTCTTTCTCCTCTTCCCTCCTCTCTCTATCTCTCTCTCCCTCTGTCTCTCGTTGTCTGTCTGTCTCTCTCTCTCGTTCACTCCCTCTCTCAGTTAATGCCTAGGCTAAATCCTTTTACCATCACTTTCAATCACTATCCGAGCTTCTATCTGGTCCAACCCTGCTGCCTGAAACGGGGCGGTGCAACTTCCCATCTCTGCTCCTGCCCCAAACTGTTCTCCACCAGGTCCGGTCTGCATCCTGCTCGGCTTAAAGGACCAGCGGGAAAACGGGGACACCGTGTTACTGTACTCCCGCCCTTAACCTGCCCTGATGTGTAAATAATAACGTACCGTACACATTTGGAGGCTGAGCTCACAGATGCCAGCTTCAAAATCTAATTTTCTTCTAGCACTGTACCAGGTCTTGTAGTGTGCCTGCAGTGCTGTATAGTGACTTTATCCTATAATATTTATCTCCATATCGCCTTAAAATTCCTTATAACATTAAATGAGAGATGATTTTGTAGAAGTATGACCTTTTTCTGCAGTTTCATCATCCTGCATTATGTAGAATATTAATTATGTAGGATTTTTATGCAGGAGTATCTGTGGATCTAAACTTGAACATAGGCTATTGTTCCCATTTTCACAGGGCAGGTGCAATAGTATGTAATGCTTTCATCCTGCAGCTAAATGGAGCAGGGCCTTTAACCTTTCATACAGAGAACTCCACATAACTCTAAATTGACTGACCCCACTTTCTGTCTGGTTTTACAAATTTCTGTTGTAGTTAATGGCATAGATTTTCAAAAATATGCATGGGGTGGAGACCTCTTCTAATAAGCACAAACAGCAGGTCAGGAAACAAAAAGTCATATTCTACTACATTTTTTTTATACACATTTGTTCCTTTAAAGAATGTTAAATGAAATATTTC